TACTACTAAAGGTATTTCAGAGCACAGAAAAGGAAGGAATAGTCCCAAACTCATTCTATGAAGCCAGTGTAACGCTGATACCAAAACCAGGTAAAGATACTACAAAAAAAGAAAATTACAGACCTATATCCCTCATGAACTTTGACGCAAAAATTGTCAACAAAATTCTAGCCAATAGAATTCAGCAACATATCAAAAAAATAATTCACTATGATCAAGGGGGATTTATACCACGCATGCAGGGGTAGTTTAACATTAGAAAAACAATCAAAGTAATGCATCACATAAATAAAAGACAAGAACCACACGATCTTATCAATCGATGCAGAAAAGGCATTTGACAAAGTCCAACACCTATTCATGAGAAAAACTCTCGACAAACTAGGAATGAACAGAAGGGAAATTACTCAATATAATTAAGGGCATTTATACAAAGCCAACAGCCAACATCATCCTAAATAGAGAGACTTTGAAAGAGTTCCCCTTGAGAACAGGAACCAGACAAGGATGCCCTTTATCACCACTCTTAGTCAACATTGTGCTGGAGGTCCTAGCTAGAGCAATTGGGCTAGAAAAAGAAATAAAAGGGCATCCAAATTGGTAAGGAATAAGTCAAAGTATCTGTATTTGCAGATGATATGATCTTATACACAGAAAACCCCAAAGAACCCACAAGAAAATTACTGGAACTAATAGAAAACTTCAGCAAAGTTTCAGGATACAAGATAAACATACAAAAATCAGTTGGATTCCTTTAGACCAACAAAAAGAACCCTGAAGAGGAAATCACCCAATCAATATCATTTACAATAGCCCCCAAGAAGATAAAATACTTACGAATAAATCTAACCAGAGATGTAAAAGATCTATACAATGAAAAAGTACAAGACACTACTGCAAGAAACCAAGAGACCTGCATAAGTGGAAAAATATACCTTGCTCATGGATAGGTAGACTCAACATTGTGAAAATGTCAGTTCTTCCAAGAGCGATCTTCAGATACAATGCAATCCTGATCCAAATTCCAGTGGCATTTTTTAATGAGATGGAGAAACAAATCACCAACTTCATATGGAAAGGGAAGAGGTACCGAATAAATAAAGCATTACTCAAGAAGAAGAATGAAGTGGGAGGCCTCACACTTCCTGATTTTAGAGTCTATTATACTGCCACGGTAGTCAAAACAGCTAGGTACTGGGACAACAACAGATACATGGACCAGTGGAACAGAATTGAGAATCCAGACACAAATTCATCCACCTATGAGCAGCTGATGTTTGACAAAGGCCCGAAGTCCATTAACTGGGGAAAAGACAGTCTGTTTAACAAATGGTGCTGGCATAACTGGACAACCATCTGTAAAAAACTGAAACAAGACCCATACCTCACACCATGCACAAAAACTAACTCAAAATGGATCAATGACTTAAACATAAAATCGAAAATGATAAAGATCACGAAGAAAAAATACAGACAATGCTAGGAGCCCTAATACATGGCATAAACACAATAGAAACCAGAAGTAACAATGGACAAGCACCAGAGGAGAGACTAGATAACTGGGAGCTCCTAAAAATCAGATACTTATGCTCATCAAAAGACTTCATCAAAAGAGTAAAAAAACAACTTACAGACTGGGGAAAAATTTTTTGGCTACAACAAATCCAATCAGAGACTAATCTCTAAAATCTACAAGATACTGCAAAATCTCAACAACAAAAAGACACATAACCCAACTAAAAAATGGGCAAAGAATATGAACAGGCACTTTGCCAAAGAAGATATTCAGGTGGCTAACAGACACATGAAGAAATGCTCACGATCATCAGCCCTCAGAGAAATGCAGATCAAAACTACAATGAGATATCATCTCACCCCAACAAAGCTAGCATTAATCCAAAAAACACAAAATAATAAATGCTAGAGAGGTTCTGGAGAGACGGGAACACTTACACACTGTTGGTGGGAATGTAAAATGGTACAACCACTTTGGTAATCAATTTGGCACTTCCTTAAAAAGCTAGAAATAGAAGTACCATAGGATCCAGCTATCCCACTCTTGGAGTATATCCTAGAGAAATAAGAGCTGTCACACGAATAGATAAATGTACACCTAGGTTTATTGCAGCACCATTCACAATAGCATAAAGATGGACACAACCTAGGTGCCCATCAACAGATGAATGGATAGACAAATTATGGTATATCCACACAATGGAATTTACAACTCAATGATAAAGAACGATGAAGCTGTGAAACATAACATGGAGGAATCTGGAGGGCATTATGCTGAGGGACTTTCGTCAGTCACAGAAGGACAAATATTGTATAAGACCACTATTATAGGAACTCAGGAAAAGGTTTAAACACAGAGGACAATATTATTTGATGGTTATGAGGGTGGAGAGGGAGGGTGAGGGTTATTCACTAAGTAGTTGACAAGAATCATCTCAGGTGAAGGGAAGAACAGCACACACTACAGGGGAAGTCAGCACAACTCGACTAAATCAAACCTAAGAAGTTTCCTGAATACAATCAAACACTTTGAGGGACAGAGTAGCAGGGGTAGGGATCTGGGGACCATGCTTTCAAGGGACATCTAGGTCAACTGGCATAACAAAGCTTATTAAGAAAATGTTCTGCATCCTACTTCGGTGAGTGGCATCTGATATCTTAAAAGCTTGCAAGTGGCCCTCTAAGATTCATCAATTGGTCCCATCCACCTGGAGTAAAGCAGAATGAAGAACACCTGAGTCACAAGGAAAGTATCAGCCCAAGAGACAGAAAGGGCCACATAAACCAGAGACTTCATCAGCCTGAGACCAGAAGAACTAGATGGTGCCTGGCTACCACCAACGACCGCCCTGACAGGGAACACAACAGAGAGTCCCTGGTGGGGCAGGAGAAAGGTGGGGTGCAGAATTGAAATTCTAGTAAGAAGAGCAGACTTAATGGTCTGACTGAGACTGGAGAAACCCCCCGGAAAGCATGGCCCTTGGATTCTCTATCAGCCCAGAACTGAAACAATTTCCGAGGCCAACTCTTCAGACAGGGATTGGACTGGACTGTGGGACATAAAGTGATGCTTGTGAGGAGTGTGCCTCTTAGCTCAAGTAGATATAAGAGACTAAACAGGCAGCTTCTGTCCAGAGGTGAGATAGGAAGGCAGAGAGGGTTAGGAACTGGCTGAATGGAAATGGGAAATCCGGGGTGGAAAGGAGGAGTGCGCTGTCACAGTACGGGGAGAGCAATTAGGGTCACATAACAATGTATGTATAAATTTTTGTATGAGACACTAACTTGAAATGTAAACTTCATTTAAACTACAACAATAAAAAAAAAATCAAATGATGCATTTCATTGGGCAAATCTGCTGCAAAAGACCTCTTTAAAGTGTTAAAAAGCAAAGATGTCACCTTGATGACTAAGGTGCTCCTGACCCAAGGCATGGTATTTTCAATGGCCTCATATGCATGTGAAAGCTGGACAATGAGTAAGGATGACAGAAGAAAAATTGCCTTTGAATTATGGTGTTGGTGAAGAATAGTGAATATACAACGGACTGTGAGAAGAAGGAACAAGTCTATGTTAGAAGAAGTACAGCTAGAACGCTTCTTAGAAATGAGGATGGCAACATTTCATCTCATGTAATTTGGACATGTGATCAGGAGGTACCAGTCCCTAGAGAAGGACATCATGTTTGGTAGAGGGTCAGCAAAAAAGAGGAAGACCCTCAATGAGATGAATTGACACAGTGGCTGCAACATTAGAGTCACACACGGCACTGATTGTGAGGATGGCGCAGAACTGGGAAGTGTTTCGTTATGTTGTACATAGGGTCGCTATGGGTCAACTCAAAAGCACCCAACAACAACAGTATCTAAAAAGAGATTGATTTAAATCATTCTCTACACTAATCCAGCTTTTTTGCCTTTTTTTGCCTTTTTGTGGTCATCTTTCTACCTGATACAGATTTTCTGACAACTTTATTTAGGTATTATTTACATATCATAAAATTCACTCATTTTAAGTGTACAATTCAATTATTTAATTATTTCTAATAAATTAATAGAGTCGTGCAACTATTATCACCATCCAATTTTAGAACATTTTCATCACCCTCAAAAAACTGCTTTGTGCTCACTTGCAGTAATTTTCAATCTCACTTCAAACCCCAAGCAGCCACTCATCTACTTTCTCTCTCCATAGATTTGTCTTTCTGTACATTTCATATAAATGGAATCATACACCATGTCTTTTAGTGTCTGCCTGTTTTTACTTAGCATGATGTTTTCAAGGTTCCTCCATGTTGTAGCATTGTTTGAATATTCTGCATCTGGTTTATACATTTACCAGTTTAGGTTGGTCCAATTTTTTTTTTTTTGTCAGTTATGCATAATGCTACTATGAGTGGTTGCTAATCTCAACATTTGGATGTAGGTTTTTACTCCTCCACCTAGAAGAGAACACACGGATTTCCTCCTTTTTGGTTTTTTCCAGCTGTATAGCATTTTTATGCTTGGATGTACCATATTTATCTAGTCCTCTGCTGATAGGCAATTAGATTGTTTCCACATCTAAATTTCTGCAAAAACAACAAAAATCTGCTATCATCCCCATTTTACTGACAAGGGCATCGAGGTCCAGAGACGGGGAAAACGTTGTCAGAGGTTACCCTGAAAGCTAAGGACTCAAGTTCTGATCCTCCAGTTCCCATCCCATGCTCTTCAACTGCTCCTTAGTCCAGACAGGATCCCCACCAGCCCAAACGGCCCCAGGAAGCTCCAGAAAGGCCTAAGAAGCCAGCCGCTTAATTCAGGTTCCTGGATTTCCGTTCGCCCCCTAGAGGCATCTGGAAACCGCTCGGCAGCGCTCCAACACACCCCGACCAGCAGGGGACAATGCTGCCATCACGATAGCACTGGCTGGATCTCCTCGCGGTGCCCCTTTCCCTCGAGTCCCCAACGTACTTCCGGCACTTACGGAACTCTAGTGCAGCCGGATGTGCAGCGTGGGGACGCAAGCGCGCAAGGCGGCAGGAGTTGCTTCTGGCCGCGTCGGTGGTCTGAATTGAGTTACAGCGGCAAAGAAAAAATGGAGACAATTCTGGAGCAGCAGCGGCGATATCATGAGGAGAGGGAACGGCTCATGGACGTCATGGCCAAAGAGATGCTCACTAAGAAGTCCACGGTGAGTAGGGACTGGGCAGGGGCTACTCGTAAGTCTGGGCCCCCAGCCCGGTGTTTAACCGCTGAGCGCTCTTTGGCCTCCGACCCGCTGCTCCTCCTGCTCCCCCACCCTCCTGGGGGCTCCGTCTCCGAGTTGCAGCCTTGGTAACCTCCTCCTTAGGCCGAGCGCCCCGGAGGCCTCTTTGCTTCTGCCGCTAAGACCTGAGAAGATAAGCTCCGCCCTCGGGCGGCTTTTCCAACTCCAGGACTCCGACTAACGGCGTCTGTGTCACCTTTGTCTTT